TAAAAAAAAAATGGTTGCCTGTAAAGTCGTTTTTACGGGCGAAGATTTTACGTGACAACGTCTTTTTCTCGGTAGAATATTTATTGATATGAATATAATTAAATTGCACAATAGGAACAAGGAATTGAATGAACTAGTGCTGCGCGCGCGGCAGACCGATCATAGTTGAGTGGGAGAGAGACGCAAGGCATTCGGCGGGCCTCTCTCTCGTTCGGTGACTCATCGTAACGTTACCGAGCGTTACACTTTTTCATAAGTGACTCCCAGCCGCAACCTAATTTAAGACGTTGTCACGTCAAAAAAAAACGAAAAATTTAACGGCGTCATTATCCTTAAGCCAAAGTTAACAGTTCTGCTGATTAAAATATGAAGTTTAGTTTCAAGAAATTGAACCGTGTCACTGCTCTCACTCAGTCCAATAAAATACAGATGCTAATAAGTTACCGCGATGCTTAACAAAGCGGGAGGATAATGATTTGTTAAATAAAAGTTGAAGTTTTTTTAAGAAACATCCGCTTACCATCAGGTGATCCGTCAGCTCGTTTACCGGCTTATGCCATAAAAAAAAGTAGCACGGAGTCTGGAATAGTGCCCGGTATACGGCAATAGGTTCACCCCCTATTACATGGGACTCATAACATAAATAGTGAAAAGTAGGTGTTACATTGTACAGTGGCATTAAGTGCCGTAATGTGCACCTCTTCCTATCCTCGACCCGACCTTTTTATAGCCACATTTTCGAAATAACCTGTATATTATCGATTACAAACTTATAATTAGAAGTTATAAGTCCAGGTTTCCTCACGATGTTTTACTTCACCGTTTGTCAATGGTGTCTGAATTTTTTTTTTTTAAAAAACATTGCCCCACACTAGGATTTTCTCCTGTGTCGTGTGTCCGTTTACAAACATACAAGTTCACATACACATCACACACAGACACGGAACAACAATTTGTGGATCACACACAGTGTTGTTCCGTGCGGGAATCGAACCCGCGACACGTTGCTCGGCAGCCGGTTGCCCAGCCGCCGCACCAACCGTGCAGTCATAAATAATCTTAGAAAGTGCATATAATTTGGAAAAAGTCACATTGGTACTTGCTATTGGTAGGTTTCGAGCCCGCCCTCTAATCTATAAGATGCGGGCATCACGTCATTGATTGATTGATTGATTGTTACGCGATGTTTAAACCATGTTGTTTTCATCGATAATTTGAAATTCATACGAATCGAAACATCCACTATACAACACAAAGATAATTAACAAAAAATCGCGGGTTACTCACGTGAATATACTGAGGAAAGCTCGGTCGTGGCGATATACGTCAGGCTGCGTGACATCGCCACGACCGCGCACTCTGCTGAGGAAAAACCCCTCTGTGGTTCGAAATTTTAGAGCTTTTCTCAGTATATTCACGTGAGTAACCCACGATTTTTAGTTAATTTAGTATGTGTCACTATAGTTGTTATAAAAACAAAAAATAATTAATCAATTCGGGGCCAAATTCTTGAGTACAATTCCGATCGATCGACATTGATATTGTGTCGTACTCTTGAATTGCAACACTAGCGCCCATTGCATCCGTATTGCGTGGATATTGAATGAAGTAAATGGTATTGAGTTTGACTTTATATTCCGTACTCTGAATGCTATTGTAACAGCTACGATTGTGGTTGTATAGTGTCGACATTGAATAATTATAATTGAATTGTCGTTGAGATTGGTTCTAGTTATTCCGGAGATGGTCGGTTACAAACTCATTAGTGTTAGTGTACATGCCCTGTGATTTCAGAAATTAATTTATAGAATTTTGTTTGAACAGGGACACAGCGAACGAAGTAATAATAAAATCAAGGAGCCTTTGCCTACAATGCGCCATGTTCGTTATGATCATGGACGACATATATTGGCTTGATCTGTACGAGGAAACCGCGAACTTCGATCGTTAGGATTTTTTTTTATATCATAAGCCGGTAAACGAGCAGACGCATCACCTGATGGTAAGCAATCGACGCCCATGGACACTCGAATCAACCAAGGCGTTACAAGTGCGTTACCGGCCTTTTGGGAATTTGAGGATTGAGGAGGATTCGGCAGACGGGGACTAGGGAGAGGGGTAATTGGGCCTCCGGTAACCTCACTCACACGACGAAACACAACGCAAGCGTTGTTTCAAATCGATTCAATTTTCAATTTCCAAATAACCTAATGCTCAAAGGCAGTTGTCTTTTGGCGCCGATAGGGTACTTTCCTAAATTTTATTTTAATGATTATTTTAAAACATTAGACACGTATTTGTTATTTTCTCACAAAATTAAATGCTTTCGACGATATGTATATTGATTTGAAATGTCGCGTGACGTCACAGCGTGCAACAAAATGTAGCACGTTATGACGTAACGACCTACATTTCAATACATTTATACTAAGAAATGACGTTTTAGCCCCCACTCCTAAACTTAACTCCATTTTATCTAAGTACTGCAACTTTATACGAGAAAATAAAAATACGTGTCTAATATTTTTTCATTATCTAACTGACGGACTAATTAGATTTTTAATTTTCATACCCTATTGTGTACCATCAGGTGACCTGTCAGCTCATTTGTCGACTAATACCATAACAGTTAACGAACATGTTACTCTCGCAAATATGTTATAATGCATTCGAAATAAATAATTCTTTTTATATCAGAGTTTGAATTTTATGTATTAAGAGGTTCAATCAGTTCAATGTAATAATAATATCGTTTTTGTTAAAAACAAAGTTGCCCCACACTAAGATTGTCTCCTGTGTCGTGTGCGTTTACACAAGTTCACATACGCATGACACACAGAC